CTTCCAGGCCACCTACCATGCTTGGCTCCTTCTTGGAGGCCCCGACGCTGTGCCAGCTGCACCGATGCCCAAGCTGTTGGGGGAGATGCAGGAGGAGACGATGCCCCCGTGAGGTGCCACCAGGAGCTCCCTAGAGGCCCCTCCCCCGATCAGCAGTGCAGCTGCCCCCTCCTCCTCCCAGGAGGACCCCACACCAGTGGAGGAAGGGGTGCAGACCCAGGGGGCCAGCTGTCTGCCCCCAGCCCTCCAGAGCCCTCACTAGCCTTAGCGCTGTGGCTGTCTCTGCCCGTCTGCCAGGGCACTGGGAAGAGGAGGGAAGAAGGGAAGGAATGGTCCCGAGGGACAAAGTCCAGCCAGGGAGGGGCCAGAGAGTGGCGCAGTGCGTGGGCATTGACCTTTGAGCTGCTTTATGGCCCTCAGATTGGAGTCACTGGGCAAGAGGGGAACAGTCCAAGGGAGGCCTGGAGGGGATGGGAGGCACCCCCAGCCAGCAGGGGAGAGTCAGGCCCTGGCAGTGGGCAGGCATGAAGGAAGGTGACAGCCTCCTGGAGGCCCCAGGCTACCCTGGCCAGGCAGAGGGGGATGGAAGGAGCTCCACCAGCAATGGTCTCCGAGGCCTCGGTCCTTGTGTGGCTGCGCTTGGAGGGTGGACGCTGTCGGGATTTGGCCAACGTGGCCAGCAAGGCTGCCTGGCTTCTCCCCTGAGCTGCCCTGGGCAGGATCCATCCATGTGCTTCACCTGCCCTCTCCGCTGTCTCCAGAGCAGGTGCCAGCCTGCCAGCAGGATGGTGTTCAGCTGCCCCAGAGTTGCCTGCCGCCAGAGGTACCACTTCCTGGAGGCCGGGAAGGGGGTTGGTGAGGAGTCCAAACTCACACCTGATACCTGAATCCTCCAAGCCAAGACATGAATGTAAAATCGGACCCCAGTGAAGCCCCCGGCTGCCGAAGGGAAGCAACAGGGAAAGGACACGACATTTTGAAAGACCAGCAGGTAAACTGAGATGCTGTTGTAGCCGAGGATCAAGATCTGGGACTCTGGTGCCGACCACCCGGGCTCGTTCCCCTACTGTTTAGTCACTGTGGTCTTGCATAAGTTACTTTACCTCTCTGGGGTTTATCTGCTTTTGTTTTTTGGCCACGCCACATGGCATGTGGAATCTGAGTTCCCCGACCAGGGATCAAACTCGGCCCTGGCAGTGAAAGCGCTGAGTCCTGTACTTCCCTAGTTGCGCAGTGGTTAAGAATCCGCCTGCCAATGCAGGGGACACGGGTTCGAGCCCTGGTCCGGGAAGATCCCACATGCCGCGGAGCAACTAAGTCCGTGCACCACAACTACTGAGCCTGCTCTCTAGAGCCCACGAGCCACAACTACTGAAGCCCGTGCGCCTAGAGCCCGTGCTCCGCAACAGGAGAAGCCACTGCAACGAGAAGCCCGCGCACCACGAGGAAGAGTAGCCCCTGCTCGCCGCAGCTAGAGAAAGCCCGCGCGCAGCAACGAAAGACCCAACGCAACCAAAAATAAATAAATAAATAAATTTATTCAAAAAAAGAAAGAAAGAAAGCGCTGAGTCCTAACCACTGGATCGCCAGGGAATTCCCTACTTTACCTTCTCTGTGTTTTATTTTCATGATCTCTAAACTGAGAAGTATTGTAATGCCTGCCCCACAATAAGATGAAATGAATTAAAAGGTGTGTGTGGAATAGAGTCTGGCATATTATTATTTAAGAAGCAGAACTTCTAAAAAATGAAAAAATAACATTCACTGGAAGTCTACTAGGAGATCCCGGAAGAGACAATATCTCTGAGAATTTTCCAGATATAAGAAAGACCAGACTCCTCAGTGAAGGAGCCCTGAGCATGATAAATATTTAAAAATAAATCTATATATACCACTAGACATAACATAGATAAATAACAAGTATCTACCGTACAGCACAGGGAACTATATTTAATATCTTGTAATTACCTATAATGGAAAAGAATCTGAAAAAGCATATATATATATATGTATTATGTATGTATGTATATATCTGTAACTGAGTCATTTCGCTGTACACCTGAAACACTGTAAATCACTATACTGCAATAAAAAAATAAATAAATCTGCAGCTTTTGTACATAAAAGGACACTTTAAAGAGAATGAAAAGAGGGCTTCCCTGGTGGCGCAGTGGTTGGGAATCCGCCTGCCAATGCAAGGGACACGGGTTCGAGCCCTGGTCCGGGAAGATCCCACATGCTGTGGAGCAACTAAGCCTGTGCACCACAATTACTGGGCCTACGCTCTAGAGCCCGCGAGCCAAAATTACTGAGCCCACGTGCCACAACCACTGAAGCCCACGCGCCTAGAGCCCATGCTCCACAACACGACAAGCCACCGCAATGAGAAGCCAGCACACCACAACAAAGAGTAGCCCCTGCTTGCTGCAACTAGAGAAAGCCCATGTGCAGCAACGAAGTCCCAATGCAGCCAAAAATGAATAATAAATCAAATAAATAAAAAAATTTTAATTTAAAAAAGAGAATGAAAAGACAACCCACGTAATGGGAGACTACTTGCAAATCACACATTTGATAAAGGTTTAATATCCAGAACATATAAAGAACTCCTACAACTCAATGAAAAAAAAACAACCCAATTAAAAAGCAGGCAGAGGGGGACTTCCCTGGTGGCACAGTGGTTAAGAATCCACCTGCCAACGCAGGGGACAAGGGTTCGAGCCCTGGTCCGGGAAGATCCCACATGCCATGGAGCAACTAAGCCTGTGCGCCACAACTACTGAGCCTGTGCTCTACAGCCCACAAGCCACAACTACTGCGACTGCGAGCCACAACTACTGAGCCCGTGTGCCACAACTACTGAAGCCCACGCACCTAGAGCCTGTGCTCCGCAACGAGAAGCCACCGCAATGAGAAGCCCGCACACCACAACGAAGAGCAGCCCCTGCTCACCGCAACTAGAGAAAGCCCATGCGCAGCAACGAAGATTCGACACAGCCAAAAATAAATAAATAAATAAATTCCAAAAGGAAAAAAATGCAGGCAGAGGACTTGAATAGATATTCTCCAAAGAGATACACAAATGGCCAAGAAGTACATGAAAAGATGCTCAACATCATTAGTCATTAAAGAAATGCAAATTAAAACCACAATGAGATACCACCTCACACCCACTAGGATGGCTATCATTTAAAAAGCAGAAAATAACAAGTATTGGCAAGGATGCAGAGAAATTGGAACCTTCACACATTGCTGGTAGGAATATAAAATGGTGCAGCCACTGTGGAAAACAGTTTGGCAATTCCTCAAAAAGGTAAAGACAGAATTACCATGTAACTCAGGATTTCCACTCCCAGATAGAGACCCAGAAGAACCAAAAGCAGAAACTTGAACACTTACTTGTACACTTGTGTTCATAGCAGCCTTGTTCACAATAAGCCAAAAGGTAGAAACAACCCACTGACAGATAAGTGGATAAACAAAATGCGGTCCATCCACACAATGGAACAATTTTCAGCCATAAAAAAAGACATGAAGTTCTGACACATGTTACGACAGGGACAAACCCTGAAAACACTATGCTTAGTGCAGTAAGCCAGATGTAAAAGGAATTTGTATGAGTCAACTTAGATGGCATATCAAGAATAGGCAAATTCACAGAAATGGAAAGTATTTTCCTGGTAACTGGAAGTTACCAGGGGCTGGAGGGAAGGGAGAGTGAGGCATCATTGCTGAATGGGTATAGAGTTCCCGCTGGTGATGAAAACATTTCGGAAACATATAGTGGTGGCGGGTGCCCCCTTCTCCAAGGCTTCCCTGGTGTCCATGGCACTGCCTTCATTTTATTCTCAGTCATTAAACAATCCCCTTTGGGGCGACTGGCAGCTGGTTTACTGTCTGCATCTGACTCCCCAGCTAGCCTGGAAAGCACCATCTCTGTGCCTGTGTGAAGATGCTGGCACCTTCCTCCCTGTGTTGCCAGCATCCGGCACAGGGTAGATGGAGAAGATGGTCAACCAACAGCTGTTGGATGGATGAGTGAACACGGGCAGTGAAGGGTGAGTGGGGCTGGAGCTAATGAGGCAAGAAGGGTGAGGGGAGCATCATAGGACCACGAAGACCAAAGAGCCTGGAGTGTAAAAGTCCAGCCTACATCGAGGCTGGAGAGGTAGGCAGGGCCTCACACAACCTGATTCACGCTTTTAAAAGAGTATTCTTGCTGCAGAGTGACGAACAGACTAGAAAAAAGAACAGTCAAGGAGTCATGACCGCAGGTTTGACTGGCCTAGCAGGTAATGAGCTTCTCGTGGCTGGGGGTATTCAAGCAGAGACGGCATGGTGGGGATGCCAGCAAGGAGAGTCCGGTGCTGATGGGAAGCAGGAAGACTAGCCTTGAGGCCCTACGCGCCCCCCCCCCGACCCTGCCCCACCACCGTGAGGAGGCCTACAGTCTCGCCCCACTCTGCACACCTGGTCTGGAGCCCACGCACGCGAATCCGTGGTAGGAGGCGAAGGCATTGACGGGAGAGGCTGGTGCAGAGGCCTCGGTGCAGGGTGAGCAGGGCCTGGGCGCGCTGCTGGGCCCGGTGCCGCTCCAGCTGCTGCCAGCCCAGCTCCTGCAGTAGCACCTGGGGGCAGAGGTTTGGGCTGGGGGCAGGCCAGGTGGCTGGCGACCACCCTGCCCTTCTCCCGAGGCCTCAGCCTCCTCCCTTCTGCCAGACAAGTGATTCTACTGGGGTGCCCGGGACACCTGGCCCACTCCATCTACCCCCCCACCCAGAAGGACCACCAAATCATGAGTTGGTCCCAGAATGTTCCTCCCACTTTCCAGCCATACCTGCTGCTTCCCTGCTCATACACACCACCCACCTGGGTGGTTCCCAGGTGACAGAGGGGCGACTCAACCCCAAACACCTGGTTCAGGATGGCGCCACATCTTTCCCGGTCAGAGAGCTCTTCCTGTCCCTCTGTCCCCAGGGCCCGGAACCTGCCCCCAAGCACGGAGAACCTTGGGGAGGTCGGAACAAGCACAGCGGGGACTTCCCTCCACACTCATTTGACCCCTGAACCCCTCGGGGTCTATTCAGTCTGTAAGTCATTCAACAATGATTTGGAAAGCACCTACTATGTGCCAGGCACTCAGGAGCATTTTGCTGAGAGGACGAGGGGCGGGTGAATGCACAGAGGCGTGGAGATGTGTGCGGGTGATGAACAGTGAAAGGAGACGCAGATGGAAGGAGAGAAGGAGAGACAGAGAGAAAGGAAGGAGGGAGGGTTGGACATCAGGCCCAGGGTCCCTGGGAAAGTGTGTCCATCGCCCGCTCCCGAAAAAGCCCCAGGTCCGCCAGCCACTCCAGGGAGCCTTCCTAGTGAGCCCTGGCCCTGAGGTGCCTGCGCCCCGGGGCTGCCCGCATCCTGGGCCCCTACCTGGCCAGGAAGGCCTGGAAGGGCATGCGAACAGGGAAGTTGGCGCTGCGGGTACACACGGCCTCCAGGATGCCCGCCTGGCGCAGTTGCTCTGCCACGTGACCCACATCAAAGAGGCCCGGAAGCTGTGGCCACGGGGCAGAGCCAAGGAGAGCTGAAATGAGGGGCTCAGAGCTGTGGGGAAGGTGGGGCAGGGCCGAGGAGGGCTGAGGGGGGTGGGGCAGGGGTGGGAGGGCTCCCAGGTGCTGGGAGAGCTCACCTTTCCCGGGTTGGGGTTGAGGCACTGGATGAAATAGACATGGCTCCTGGTGGGTGGAAGGGGCGGTCACTTGAGCACAGACTGGCCCCTCCATTCAAACTCCCTGGGGTTGAGTGGGGGGGGCCCTATTCTCACCTGCCCAGCCGGGCTAGGAGGTCCCCCAGGGAATGCTGGAAGCGAGAGGCCAGCGTGGGTTTGCCTGGTCCGTCCCCAGACTCGGGCTCTGCTTCCTGGAACAGGCTACCCACCAGCTGTGGGGTGAGAGGGAGCCAAGCCAGCTCACCTGGGCCTGTCCAGCCTGCCCCTCACCCTGACCCCCGGGGAGCCAGGGTGGGCCGGCCAAAGGTTCAAGTTGCCAGGGGCTTGAAGGCCAGCTCCTTGGGCAAGGCTGTCCGGGTGGAGAGGGCAGAATGGGGGGACAGGGCAGCCGGCAGGGGCACCTGGAGCTGGCTCTGGGCAAGCATCTCCACCACAGCAGGGTCAAGATGATCCTGGTTTCTGTTTAAAAACTTATGAACCTGCAAGAGATAATGTGGGGTGCGGGGGGAAGCCAAGGAGAGAAGGCTGGGTGTGGAAGCCAATCCCTTTGCAAAATAATCCAGACTCTCCCCTCTGAGTTACAAGGCCACCTTTGACACAACACTAAATCAAGCATACTTCACTGAAAATAAATGTTTTACAAAGGCCCCCTTTGAAGGTGGACTCATCTCACACCACGTACCAAAATTAACCCAAAATGAATGGATCAAAGACCCAGATGTAACACCTGAAACTATAAAACTCTTAGAAGAAAACAAAGGGAGAAAGCTTCATGACATTGGACTTGGCAATGATTTCCTGAATATGACACTAAAAGCACAGGCAACAAAGGAAAAATAGATAAACTGGATTTCATTAAAATGAAAAACTTCTGTGTATCAAAATACAGTACTAAGAGGGTGAAAAGACAGCCTACAAATTGGGAGAAAATATCACATATAACGGTTTAATATCCAGATTATGTAAAGAACTCCTACAACTTAACAACAACAAAAAAATAAAACAACTCAATTCAGGACTTCCCTGGTGGCACAGTGGTTAAGGATCTGCCTGCCAATGCAGGGGGTACTGGTTCAATCCCTAGTCCAGGAAGATCCCACATGCCACGTAGCAACTAAGCCCGTGCACCACAACTACTGAGCCCACATGCCACAACTACTGAAGCCCACACATCTAGAGCCCATGCTCCACAACAAGAGAAGCCACCACAATGAGAAGGCCGTGCACCGCAATGAAGAGTAGCCCCCTGCTCGCTGCAACTAGAGAAAGACTGCGTGTGGCAACGAAGACCCAAGGCAGCCCAAAATAAATAAATAAACCCCAAACCAACTCAATTCAAAAATGGGCAAAGGACTTGAATAGATATTTCCCCAAAGAAGATACACAAATGGCCAAGAAGCACATGAAAAGATGCTTGACATCGTTAGTCATTAGAGAAATGCAAATCAAAACCACAATGAAAAAAAAACCAAAAAACCACAATGAGATACCACTTCACACACCCTAGGATGACTGTAATTTTCAAAAACAGAAAATAACAAGTACTTGCAAGGATGTAGAAAAACTGGAACCCCCAATACATTGCTGGTGGGACTATAAAATGGTGCAATCACTGAAGAATAGTTTGGTGGCTCCTCAAAAAGGTAAACATAGAATTACCATATGACCCAGCAAACCTACTCCTAGGTAGATACCCAAAAGAATTGAAAGCAGCAACTCAAACAGCTACTTGTACACCCATGTTCACAGCAGCATTATTCACAATAGCCAGAAAGGTGGAAACAATTCATGTCCATCAGCAGATGAATGGATAAACAAAATGTGGTCTATACATACAACGGAATATTATTCAGCCATAAAAAGGAAGGAAATTCTGACACATGCTACAACATGGATGAACCTTGGAAGCATTATGCTTAATGCAATAAGTCAGACACATAAGGATTTTGTGTGTGTGTGTGTGTGTGTGTGTGTGTGCGCGTGTGTGTGTGTTATGATTCCACTTACATAAGAGTAGGCAAATTTATAGATACAGAAAGTAGATTAGATATTACCAGAGTCTGAGGAAGGGGGAATTGGAGCTTAGTGTTTAATGGGTAAGTTGTTTCTGTTTGGGATAATGAAAAAGTACTGGAAATGGATAGCAGTGATGGTTACACAACAAATTGTGAATGTACTTAGAGACACTGAAATGTACACTTTAAAATGGTTAGAATGGGAAATTTTATGTTGTGTATATTTTACCACATTTTTTTAAAGGCCGCCTTTGTCACATACCCAGTTCTTTGTTACACTTTTGGGTCTGTTTATTGGGTTTTCAATTCTGTCTCATTGATGGGTCTGCTCCTTATCAATACCATACTCTTTTAGTTGTTAGAGCTTTAAAATATGTTTTAATATCTGATAGGGCAACTTCCTCCATAATCACTTGCTTTTTATATCTTATTAGCTATTCTTATGCATTTATTTTCCATATAATACTTCAGAATAATTTTGTTAAAATCCACCTCTCCTCTCATAAAAGTCTCATTGGAGTATTGTCTGGAATTACATGACTTTTCTAGATTAACTGGGAAATAGTGAACAATATAGGGCTCCCCAATAGGAATGTGGCTTTTCCCTCCATTTTTAAGTCTCCTTTTGTGACCTTCAATACAATTTTATAGTTTTCTTTAGTCAATCTCCTTCTGTTTCTTCCTTTTTTCTTTTAGATGTGATTTTTTTTTTGAGGTATAATTGACATATACTCCTTGTGTTTCACGTGTGGATAACTCCTGTGTAGTTTGTATGTTTTCTTCTATAACCAGAGCATGTCACCTCCTCCAGGAAGACGTACCTGATGCCCCACCTCAAACCAGTCACCTGGTCCTAGCCTTTAAACCAGGCCCCCTCCCCTCAGCAGCTCTCCTCCTGGGTAGGTGTGCAGTAGTCATGAAACTCATAAAGGCGAGGGAGAATCGCTTCAGTGAGCACCTAGTATCTGCCAGGCACCTGACCCGCCATTTCCATGTAATTGCATTAATCCTCAGCACAATGCTATAGGCTGGACTCCCATTCGCATTTTACAGATGAGGAAATGGAGGCTCAGAAGGAAAAGTAGACTGCCTGAGGTTATCAGAGCCAGGTCCCATGCATACACTCTGCCCCTCTTGGACTGGAGGGTCCCAAGGCCTTGACCCTCCCCACCCCATAATGCCCACCCAGAACTCAGTAAGTCATGCACTAGGTGAGGCCAAGGACCCAGGTGGGGACAGATGGCCAAGCCTTGGAAGGGGCCTCCCCACACCTACCCCTCTCACCCGTCAGGTGACTCCCCAGGGTCACATTGCCCTCACTGATTCACCCTGATACCTGGTAGGTGACGGTCCCAGCGTAATGCTGCACGGTGAAGATGGGAAGGGGCAGCTGGGGCTTGGTGTAGCGCGGGTGGTCGCCGTGGTGGTAGTGGCACTTCTGCAGGAAGGTGTGGTCCGTGGCCTGATAAGAGGAAGAGCTTCTCAGGCCTTTGCAAGTGCCATCCCCCTGCTGGGACTGTGTTTCCCTCCCCTGCACCCCCCAAAACCACAGGCACTGAACAGAAGGTGAGCTTTGGTTTTGGTCCCCAAACTTCTTTTTCAGGAAGAGTCACTCCACATCTGAGTCCTTATAAAGGGCACAGCTTCTATCCCAGGGACTATTTTGAACAATTGGTTCCCATTTGAGAAAAAACACAGTAGCTTTGTATACCTCAGTCAATAAGATTTGGCGGCTTAGAGGACCTTTGATGAAATCATTTAAAAGAAATGGGGCTAGGGGAACTTTAAGGCAGATTTAGCAATCACTCCTGGGAGTCTGGTCTCACAGTTACATGTGTTTCTGAACAAGTCTTTCAAAGATACTTTTAAAAAGCCACCTGTAAGAGATTATTTTATAGTGCTAAGGAACTTATAACAACAAATACTTGGGGAAACCCTCACAAGCCCCTCATGGGGCCTGCACAGTCCCCACCACCCTGCCCCTCAGGCACAACTGTCCCCCTTCTGCAGCGAGGACTCTTGGAGAAGTCGGGAATCTCACTCAGGATCACCCAGAGACAGGATTTGAAGCCAGTGTGGCCGCTGCTTTCCCAAGCTGTGCTGAGGGCCTGTGGGCAGGGTCCCAGGACCTCAGCACTTTATTGTTCCCCTGGGAGTTCCTGCTGGCTCTGGCCTCGCCACCAGGGCCCCCACTCCTTGTCCCCGACACTGGGGGCTCACCTGGGACAGCCATGTCTGGGCATCCAGGATACTCAGGAGGCTGTGGGGCTGATCTACCAGGAGATCCAGGCAGGACTCCTGCGGAGGCTGGGGAATGGGCACCCAGGGCAACAACTCCCTCCGACACTCCTCCTGGGAACAGCCAGCATTTAGTTTACAGAGACCACCCATGTTCATGGGGGGACTTCATCTGAGCCAGAGCAAGGATGGCCCTCCCACTTTACAGATGAGTAAACTGAGGCTCAGAAGGACTGAGACGGTCCATAGCAAGGGGGCTTTGGGGCAGAGCTCTCGGTGTAGTGCCTTCTCTTTACCAGGGATGGCCTCTGTTCTGGGAAACAGCTGGGTGTCCCCCTGCCACCTCCATGCCCAGCTCCCCATACCTCCTCCTGGGCCAGAAGCATCTGGCTGAAGGAGAGCTGCAGGCGCTCGCTGGCGAGGTTGTTGCACAGCTGCTCCAGGCCGTTGACCCGCAGTGCCTGGGGGGGGGGGCGCGTGGGCAGTGAGGTGGGCACCCACACCAGGTGGGGGCACAGGGCAGCTGGTCGGGGGGTTGGCACACAGGCCTGGTGCCCTTCATCCCCCTCCCACAGCTGCCCCCATTCTCCCCAGCACTAGGCGGGAGTGGTGCCCTAGGGCTGATGCTGCCTCCTCCAGGGACAAGTCCAAAGATCCTGGCACAGCATGCAGGCTGCCTCAGCCCAGTCCCAGCCTCGATCATGCTTCCTCCCTCCAACAACCCACACCCCTGCCCTCTGCCTCAGCACCACTGAGAGCCTTCGGGCCTCTGATCATAGCCATCCTGTGGTCTAGAAGGCACCTCTTGCTACAGCCTAACTCGCTGGCTATCAAAATGCCACATCCTCGTAAGCAGATCTCCAGGCTGCCGCCTCCAAGAAGCCTTCCAACATCCCTCCTGTTGGAATTACAGGCTCCTTCCTCTGTGCCCCTCAGCACTTTCCTAGTAAGCCCAGCAGAGCCCCCGCTTCGTGTAGCTTTGCAGAGTTTTGACATGTTCTAAAATACACACAAGAGCACGCATGTGCGTACATGCATGCACACACACACACACACACACACACACACACACACACACACACAGGTACAACGGTCATCCCCTCCTCAGAGAGCGGATAGTCACCAAGGACACACTGGAGAGGAGGAGAGAGCAGGGGACTGGGTACAGTGCCCATCCAAGGACTGAGGTGGGGGCCACCTCCTCTTGCTCTCGCCCCTCCTCCCTGCCTTGAGGAAAGAGGATGTTCTGGAAAGGGGTGAAGAGCTTATGAAAAACTCAGTGTGATTTGGGGGATTCCCTCTCTTCCGTCTCCTCTGGGTACACAGCAGGCGAGGCTGACCCATCTGAGGGTCTTTCATTGTCTTAAGGGCTCCTGTGAGATTCTGCAAGGCCAAGCAGGCAGAAGTCTCCAGAGCCGACGTCAGAGCTGGATAGGGCAGATGGCTGTACCTATGGAGCACGCAGCTGTCTCGTGGACCATCTTACGGTCAGAAAGGCAAGCAGTGCACGAGCACCCCCTCAAAGGGAAGCTGCTGGGGTCCCCAGAAATAACCAGGATGAGGTGGGCACCCTGTCCTGGGCCCCGCCCCCAGGGGTGACCTCAAAGCCGTAGACGTCGACGACAGTGACAGCGACCACGCTGCCTCCCTCCCTGGGGGGTGCCAGCCGCACATTGGTTCTCCTCAGGAGCCGGGTGAAGAGCCGCGAGTACAGGGCCTTGGCCAGGGCGTCCCTGTGGGCATGGTGAGTGAGCCTCGTGCAGCAGGGGCCAGGCCTGCTCACAGCTCTCTCCTGTCCCCAGGGCCACCTGGCATTGATGGCACTTTCCACAGGCAGGGATCTCGAGACCCGGCCATAAGGCGCCTCCTGAGGGCAGAGGATGTGCATGTGGTATGTCAGGCCCAAGGCCCACACTAGTGCTCCCCAAGCCTTCGGGTGGACTGGTCAGGCCCCCGCCTCCCCAGGACCCCTGAGCTCACCATGACCCTCCTGGTGACAGCTCCCTCCAGGCGCTTGGGTGGCACCCGCAGCAACCGGGCTGCCGTGTGGATCTCAGCCCAACTGGACACGGCAGCCACCTCCTGTGACTCCCTCTGGACAGGCGGGAGGGGGCAGGGAGAGCTCTGCTTGTGGACTGGCTGCTTCCCATGGGGCAGGGGCAGGGCCTTGCTTTGCCTGGCAAGGTGCCCTGTTACCCAAAGGTAGATCTGGGCATGTAGGAGCTGGCTCCGGAGTCTGAGGGCCTGAGTGTGAATCCTGACTTTACCTCTCCACTAACTGGCGGCCCTGACAAGTCTCTTTCCTTCTCCGAGTCTCCACTGTCTTATTGTTAAAGGCAAAACAACAATTTTTATGTTATGGTGTTCTCAGAAGCAATGAATTAGAAAATATATGCAGGGAATTCCCCAGCGCTCCAGCAGTTATAGGACTTGGCACGTTCACTGCCGGGGGCCCGGGTTCAGTCCCTGGCCAGGGAACTAAGATCCTGCAAGCTGCGCGGTGTGGCCAAAAGAAAAGAAAAGAAAATATATGTAGAGTGATCTACACAGTGCCAGGTACATAATAGCTGCTCAATTAATGCCAAGCGCCCTCCTTAGGGTGGCAGTTTAGTGGGACAGACCCCGGTTGCAGTTTTCTCATCTGTACGATGGGAGTTCATCTGCTTTTTCTGGGGCAGTGGTTAGGCCCTGATGGTGGCCCAGGGCTTTACTGTCTCCTACACACAAGTGTTTGGCATTGTTATTTCTGCCCTCGTGATGATGCAAACAAGCCACCACCAATCCAGTGTCTCAGAGGTAGCTCACCTCTGAAGAGAAGCAGATGTTGCCCAGCTGCAGGACAGAGGCCAGCACAGCCCAGACTGCAGTCAACTCCTCAGTGCACAAGCCCAGCACCTGCAGGGCCTTCACCAGTCCTGTGAAGTCCTGGGCATCCTCCTTGCCCTGGAGCCTGCAGGCCCGGCCCTGCAGAGCACAGCAGGGGTGAGGGGTGAGGAGTCGGGGCCTGGCCACCCGCAGCTTCCCTCTCCTCAGACCCTCCCCTGGGCAGACCCCGTTGTCTGCCCAGCACCGAGGGGGCCTCCCCCCACCTGGTTGAGGTAGCAGTAGGTCTCCGGGCCCTGTAGGGAGAGCCTCTCCCGTTCCATGGGGTCCAGCCCCGCCAGCAGCTCATAAAAAACATGGAAGCTCCGCTCAGCCTGGGCCTCAGGGGAGCAAAGACAAGTCCTGGGGGAAGGCAGGCTTGGGGGCTGAGGGACCACAGCCCCTCACAGCAGCCCCTCCCTCTTTCCCACTCTGGGAGCAGCGGGCCAGGTCATACCTGAAACACCACTCTCGAGGTCTCAAGCAGATAATGTGACACAGAAGCTCCCAGGATGACCCCTCTGTGGACACAGGACACTGAGTGAGGGGGCCCCCGCTCAGAATGGGACCCACCGTGGGCTGGACCCAAGGGCAGCAGTCTCAGGTTCCCAATAAGGGAAACTGATCATGGGTGACCCTGCCCACCTGGACCCCCGTCACTCACTGCTGCAGGCAGAGGCCTAAGACCTGGCCAAAGCGGCTGGCATTGGCATTGAGGACTGTCTTGGCATGGCCGAAGCTGCTGAGCATAGGCAGCACGTCGTCCAGCTGGATGGGGGAGGGGCATTCAAGTATCCCTGGGAGCAGCAGTGGTGCCCACTGATCAGGCATCCCAGCCGAGGACACTATGTACCTGGCAGCTCTGTTGGTCCACGGAGGGGTCAGTCACCCCAGCCCTCCCTGCCCCCGCAATGCCTGGGGCTGCCCCCGAGGGGAAGCTAGAGGCCTGAAGACCACCCTTCTGCCCCAAAGGAGTAGCATGGTCCCTCTTGGATCCCTGGGAAATGGCGAGCTGCCCCTCACCTGACATCCTCCGTCCCTTGTCTGCCCCTGCTCCAGGCTGCTTAGGAACTGCACAATCTTTCTGGAAGCTTCTGTCTTCCCAGAGCCGCTGTGCCCACTGCAGGAGGGAGAGGCTGGCAGGGTCTCCAGGAAGGGGCACATAGGACAACCCCATTGAGCCCGAAAGTGGGGATATGCCCACCTGGAAGTGATACCTGCCCTAAAGGAGACTCCCAGAAATGCAGAAACATAGACCTGGGGCATAGAGACCAAACAGAAAAAAGTCCCCAAGATGCCTCGTTCAAGGGGCACAGTCTTAAGAAGTCCAGAGCTGTTGCCCAGCAGTGGACCAGACAGGCAGTTTCAAATGCAGACCTCACATCCCCTTCCTCCTGGCCTTCAGTGTGGCCTGAAGGTTCAGCCAAGCAGGGCAGCCACCACTCACCCCAGGAGGATGCAGGTGCCCTGCCCAGTGCTCTGAGACAGACTATAGGCTGCTGCCACGATGGCAAAGATGTGTCTGGGGGAGGAGGGTGGAAGCAGATGAGAAGGTCACCAGAGATGGGCATCTGGGGCCTCCTGGGCGTAGGCAGGTCGTGCCTGCCATGCCCTGGACCTCAGTCAATGGGACATGCTGGGGCTTAGCCACCTGGGGGTGAGCAGAGGGCTGGTGGGGCAAATTCACGTACGGGGTGGTGTTAGGGGTCTTCCTAGGGTGGTAGCTGGCCAGGACCTCAGGTGCGAAGAGAGGCAGGGGCCGGCGGGGGTTCAGAGCGAGCAGGAGGGGCCCCCCAAAGGTCTGGGAGGAAAGTGGAAGGTCTCATCAGAACATGGAGGGAGCAGGTGATGCAAATAGAGTGGAGCTCTGATGCCCCTGGCCCCTCCCCGCTCTGCAGGAGCCCAGAGAGGGTTCAGCACCCAGCCCAGGGAGGAGAAAGATGGAGGGGAAAGCTCCAGGGGTGCCCGGAGGGCCCTCTGATCCCTGAGGAAAGGGAATCCCAGCCCACCATCCCCTCTTGGGTCCCCCGTACATAGATTCGGCGCAGGTAAAACCTCTTCTTGAGACACAGCAGCACGGAGCTGTCGCACACTGGCCTGTAGGGAAGCAGGGTGGAGAAGCAGGGAGTTGGGGGCAGAAGATCCTGGGGTGGCACTGCCACTGGCTGCAGAGACACTTCTGCCAAGTCATGCACCCTCTCCGAGCTGGTCCATAATACAGGGGTCCGGCTGCTAAGCAAGTTACCAGCGCCGTGAGTGCTACAAGCAGGACCAGGCTGCTGACCCAGAGGGAAGCTTTGTGCCAATTAGAGAGGGAAGGAGCACCTGATTCTCACCCCTCACCTGCCCCTTCCAGCCAGACGACCTTGTGTGGCAAAATCCCATGTAAAGATACAATTCATAAAAGAACGGGGGTAGGAATGGGATACGAGCAAGTGTGACCCAGGCATGGCAGGTTTGGGACGGCGCCCGCTCACCGCAGCCGGGCCAGGTCCTCGGTGTCTTCCAGGCCTTCCCCGAGGCTCCTGCCCTCGGCGCCGGGAAAGGGCGGCGCCTCCAGGCCCGGCCCGAGGCTCAGCTCCAGGTCCTTCTCCAGCGCCTCCTCGGTCTCATCCTCCGGCTCCCACCGATCCCTCAGGAACCTGCAGGGGCTCGGGCTCCTCTCCCGCCGCAAGCGGGTCTCCAAGATGAGTCGGGGCAGCAGTGTGCTTCGGTGCCAAACCCAGGGTCCTCGTGCGGGTCCTCGCCCTGCGCCCAGTGCACCGGAGCCTCGGTTCCCAAGGTCTCCGGCTCCGCTTCGCTGCTGGAGCCTCTCTCGAGTGGGGGCTTGTCGGGGGGAGTCGGGCCGAGAGAGCCGTGGCGGTGCCCAGCCACCCCTTCTCCACTCGCCCTGCGCCCCTCACTGTCCCCTGAAGCCCCCGCACAAGACGAAAAGTGCCCCTCCCCAGCGGGGGCGTCCGCGGACGCTTCCTCTGAGCTCTGGCTGCTCGAGGTCCTCCCTGCCCTGTGGATCCTGGGGAACATGACCGCAAACTTGGGATCTGGAGTCGGGTCCGCGTCCTCAGAAGGGTCGTCGGGGGCTGGCTTTTCAGCAACCTGCGGGGAACTCGAGCCGCCACCAGGGGGAGCACTCGGTCGCCCGCCCAGCCCAGCTACGCCCGCCAGGCTGGGCACTAGACCGCGGCTCGGCCCCGGCCCGCGGCCCCGCCCCTCGCCCGCCGCCCGCGCCTCGCCCGCCCGCGGCCGGAGCCGCAGCCACCGCAGCAGGCCCAAGCCCCGTGCCGCGGCTCGGCCCCGGCCCGCGGCCCCGCCCCTCGCCCGCCGCCCGCGCCTCGCCCGCCCGCGGCCGGAGCCGCAGCCACCGCAGGAGGCCCAAGCCCCGTGCCACCCGCAGGAGCCGGTCCTTGAGGCCCGAGCGGCAGGGACCCGCGGCCTGGGGAGCGGGCCCTGGCGGGGGCCTCGCGCGTAGCCTGCCGAGCGCCACCAGGGCGACCAGGGGCGCTGGGTCCCGGGACCCTTCTCCAGCCCCCGCTTCGCTCACGCCCTCCTCCTCTTGCACCTTCCCCACCCCTTCTCCGACCTGGGTACGCTGACCCCGGGTGGTCGAGGCCTCGGCTCTTCCGGCCTCGGGGCCCCTCGGCTCAGCCTCGGGCTGCACCCCACTGTTTCTCGCGTCCCGGGCCGGCCTGGGGTCTCGAGAAGCCCGCGAGCTCCGGGGAACGCACGCGCGGCTGCCCTCGAGGGGACTGGTGGCCGCGGCTTTACTGGCCGGGTCGGCCTCTTCGGCCTCAGTGGACCCGCTTGTCGTTCCTGGGGCTGCCCGTAGGCTCCGTCCAGGCCTGGCTCCCTCCAGACTCAAGTCTGTGTCAGTCTCGGAATCCTCGGTCTCTCCCTGGGGCCTCGCCCCCGACGATCCTTCCGGGCTCCGGGGCCCGGCGGGGGGCTTGTCACCGCCTCTGCCGTCGCTGCCCAGGCCGTCGCTGTTCCGGCGTTCTCTCAGCGCCTCCAGCGCTGACTCCGGACCGAACTGAGTGCTTGCCGAGCCCATGTCCGTTTGCTCCGAGTTGGGCCGCCGCTCTGGGGCCCCACGGCTCTGGCTGCCGCTCTCCAGGGTCTCGCGGGCTTCGCTGTCCGGGCAGGAGCTGGCCCCGTCTCCATCCGACGTGTCCCCATTGAGGCTGCGGGTCTCTTGGCGGCCCCGCTGAGCCGAGCGTCCCCTCCCTTTTCCGCTTCTCCTGCGGCGGTCGCGCCCGCGTGTCCTTCGTCCTCCGAGGAGACTTTTCTCTTCCAGGCGCCCCCCACGGCCGTCCCCAGGCTTGTGGTTCTCCTTGGGCCCGCATCCCCGACGCCAAGCGCTGCCTCGTCTCCCCGCAGCCTCCGGTGGCGGCCCAGCCTCTGGCCGTCTGCAGTCGCCGTTCTCCTCTACGGTGGGCTTCCTGCGGCCACCGGGTGTCTCCTGGCCCCCCGCGGTGCAGGGCTCCAAGAGTGGTCTCGCCCCGTGGGCTCTACCGCGGCCCTGTCGGCGCTCCCGGCTGGGCGCGCTGTCGGCGCTGGCCGACCCGGATTCCTGCTCCCCGGAGGTCGGCCTCCCGGGCGCCTCCGGCCGCTGGGGCGTTTTGCCCTTGCTCCTGCCCATGGTTTGTTTCCCGGCGCCTCCCTCCTCTCCTGTTACCTAGGAGCTGGCTGCCCGCAGGTGCCCTCGGCAGCGCATCACACAGGTTGCAGCTACAGACTCACTCTACCCGCCCCCGCATCTCCCGCCTTATGCGTGATCATCAATAATGCAGGTGGCTGCGGGTCCTGACCTCCTCGGCCAACAATAGAGTGGAGGCCGCCCAGGAAAGGGGAGCTGCAACTGCGGACAAAGGCCGTGGGCAGGGCAACCGTGCCGCCTGGAGTTGCTGCCAGCCAGGCCAGCCTGGCACCACGCCAAATCGAGGGCGCCCATGCCCTGCTCCCACCTCACTGCTTCTTCAGCAGGGGTTGAGGGGGTGCCAAAAGAACCGTCCTCCTCGTCCTGGGGTCTCTAGGGGAATCCACCCTCCTCCCCTGCATTGGCAGGCGGATTCTTAACCACTGCGCCACCAGGGAAGTCCAGGTTACCCATTTCTTGTATTGCCTTCAAGAGCTATCCACGTAGAGGAAAGCAAGTATTTTTTCCCTTTGAGCACAGGTGGAAGCTTTTCTAGCTCATGGCTCTTCACTCTGCTTTTTCCAATCTAACAGATTAACTTGGAGATTTCATAATAGTACCTAATGATCTTCTTTTTCTTTTCTTTTTACAACTACATCATAATCCAGCAAATGAACCTGCCATAGTTTAACCAATTCTTTATTGATAGTGTGAAAATTAATCAAGGGAAACCTTACTAAAACGGAGCCCAGAGGCCAGAAGGGGGAGCTCGTACACGCTTACCCCTCCACCTCAATGCGGATCCCAAGGGAAAGAAATGTACTTTGTACTACAGCCAGCTGGAGGAAAAAGGATTTTCTCCTTGCCTGGCACAGCTCAGCCAATGCGAAACTGTCAAACTAAGACAATGAAAAGCCACTGTGCTTCAAATTCCCAATTTCCTCCAATGGTCTTTTTGTTTATAACAGCCTTTCCCAACTTCCCCTTCTCCTCTATAAAAAAGTTTCCTCTCCTTTGCTTTAGCAGGGTTGTGTGTTGCTGGCCATAGTTGCTATCCTGTGTTGTAATTCTTTGCTGCTCTTGAATAAACCTGTTTTCCTGGTAAAATAACTGACTTTTAAAAATTGCTTTAGGCTAACAGACTTTTATGTCTGAAACGGAGGATGCCTTCATCTCAGCTTTTGCTTCAGTTACAAACAACATTGACTCCACCTGTGTCCAAGCAGAATCAATTCCTAGAAGTAGAATTGCTGGGCCATAGGGTATGTGTATTTGTAATTTGGAGTGCTCCAAATTTTCCTCCATGGAGGTTGTATCAATTTACACTCCCACAAACAAGATAGGAGACCACCCATTTTAACATGGCACTGAGGCATAGTGTTACCTAACATTTTTGCCACTCTGAAACATGACAAATCTCAGTGTCTTTTAAATTCATTTCTCTGTGAAAATAAGCATCTTTCCTCCATCTTACAGCCTTTTTTTTTTTTTTTTTCCTGAGACCTGTCTTTTCTCATTCTTTACCCATCTTTGTATTGATGTGGATCTGTTTCTTGATGGTTATACTGTAGTTAAACCCAGGCAGGATTCATGAGCCCTTTTTGGATGGCCCCAGGGCAAGGCAGCTGCTGCAGGGTAGGCTCCGGGGCACCCAAGATGGAGTCAGATGAGATCTCCAGCCAGGGCCTGTGACCTGCCCCACAGGGCTCCGTGCCCCTGCTGACCATTCACTCTGGCCTCTCCTCACCAGCAGTCCCACCCAGAATCAGAGTGGGGGAGGTAACATTCCAGATTGTGGCCCTTTCCTTGGTATGCTCTCCAGTTGGCTTGTACCTGCCTTGTACCCACCTCTCTGCACATGTCCTGGAGCCAGCCTCAGACCTGGGTGGAGCCTGCTGCAAGCACTCGTGTTACCCAGGAGGGCCACTCACAGCCCAGAGGCCTGGTTTGAGCAAGGAGTTGAAAGTGACTTGGCCTTTGCCAAGGAAGCAGCCTTCTGGTGAAGGAAGCAGCTGTCCCGAAGGAACACAAGCTCATGGGTAACATCAGTTACCATGTAGCTCATAAAACTGGTGTCTTTGTGAAAGTCTATAAGCTATGCTTCCCCACCACCAATACTGACCAAGGCAAAGGGCAATGAGATTCATAGGGCTTGTTTCACCTGCAGAAAGCAGGAAGTGGGGTGATGTATTCACACAGTGTATGATTACACAGCACTGTTAGCAACATACGTGGGTTATTTCACAAACGTAATGGTGAGTGAAAAAGCCAGAAAGAGTTATCGAATCACTGTGTGATTCTATGTACATAAAGTACAAAAAGAGGAAACTGAGCTAGTTATAGAGTGGTGCCTGGGGTGGGGGGTGGGAGGTTGGTAGTGACTAGAAGGGTCACAAGGGAGCCTCCATGGGTGATACTGTTTGTTTAGTTTGTGGAGGTTTATCGGGTTGTACTCCTATGACTTGTGCTGTTCTGTATGCGTTTTATAATTTAAAAGATAACACAGAGCAAGAGCTCACTGTTTTGCCCTGGACTAATAATAATGATGATGATGATGTGCTAGGTACTGTTCTAAGGACTACACTTAATTTTTTTTTTTCTTTTTGGCCACGACCTGCGGCCTGTGGGATCTTAGTTTCCCAGTCAGGGATTGAACCCAGGCCCTCAGCAGTGAAAGCACGGAGTCCTAACCACTGGACTGCCAGGGAATTCCCTGAATTCACTTAATTCTTGAAAGCACTCTAAGAGGTTGGTGCTATAAGGATTCCCATTTTATGGATGATAAGACTGAGGCACACAGCTGAGTGTCAGAACTGGAATGCCAGGAATTCCCTGGCAGGCCAGTGGTTAGGACTCCGTGCTTTCACTGCTGAGGGCCTGGGTTCAATCCCTGGTTGGGGAACTAAGATCCCACAAGCTGCACAGCATGGCCAAAAATAAATATATTATTATAAAAAAAAAAAAAAAAAGTGGGATGCCCACTCAGGCAGTCTGGCTCCCAAGACCCGGCAAAAGAACATGTGTGAGGAGCTACCATCAGCTACACACGGAACTTCTGTTTGTCCGGCCCATTACATTGTGTCCTGTGAGCTCTCGGGGCAGAGGGAGAGTTCCACACCTGTCTCCAATCTCCTACCTTCTCCCCTGCCCTCCTCTCCCTCTGGTTGATCCAGGACTGAGCTCGGATCTCACTCAGCTCGGTGGGCATGGCCACGTCTGATCCTCTGAGTCTCAGTTCTCTTCCCAAGCTTCATTTCATTCAAACCCCCCAAAACCCTAGGAAGGGGATATGGTCTCATTTCACAGATGGGGAAACGGCTCTGAGAGGGTAAGTGGCTTAAGGACACACAGCCAGTAAGTGAGAAATTGGGGACCCAATTCATGGGTCCCGCTATTCTTTTTCTTTAATTAATTAATTAATTTATTGGCTGCGTTGGGTCTTCGTTGCTGCACGCGGGCTTTCTCTAGTGGTGAGCGGGGGCTACTTTTCGTTGCGGTGCGCGGGCTTCTCATTGTCGTGGCTTCTCTTGGTGCAGAGCACAGGCTCTAGGCACGCAGGCTTCAGTAGTTGTGGCATGTGGGCTCAGTAGTTGTGGCTTGCGGGCTCTAGAGCACAGGCTCAGTAGTTGTGGCGCACGGGCTCAGTTGCTCCGCGGCATGTGGGATCTTCCCGGACCAGGGCTCGAACCCGTGTCTCCTGCATTGGCAGGTGGATTCTTAACCACTGTGCCACCAGGGAAGCCCAGGTCCCACTATTTTGCTCCATGACACTTCTGCTGAGAATTGGCTTCAGAACCAGACAGGCTTGGTCCCTCCCCCGTCCCACTTTCTGGCTGTGTGATTTCCAACAATCTCCGGGGAACTCCCTTGGACAAACCTGATACCAGGGCAGAGGGGCCCCAGCCCCAAGCCCAGTTCTCCCCTTTGCCTCCTCCTTCCCACTCATTCCTTCATCTGCTTTGCTCACGAGGACTGTGAGCTCCTCCTCCGGTCTGTGCGAGCCCTCTTCTGACTCCACTCCACACTCCTTCCCCTCCCTCCTGATCCATTTCCGCCTCTCCTGCCCTCACCCACCTCACAGTAACTTTCACCTCCTTTGGTTGGGTGTTTACTGGGAGCCAGATGCTGTGGGATGTTACAGATTCTCATTTAATCCTTTCAGTCCTCTGAGGTCGGCCCTATTATCACAGCCCATTTTGGAGATAAGTAAACAAAGGCCTATCCAAGGTCACACAGCCGGTCACAGGCAAAGCCAGTGATGGAGGGTTGGATCCGCCCGACTTTCAGATGTAGGTGAACTCTAAGTCTTCCACCTCTGGATGCCGAAGGCCCTCAGATCTAAGTCTCCAGACTGGCTGCCTGCGGTACGTCTCCAGGGCCTTTGGAATTGGCAGTGACCCCTCCCACTCACTCACCGGTCTATCTGGCAAGCCATCCTGGTCAACTCAACCTCTCAATACCTCTGTTTTACCACTCCCATCACCTCTCCCTGGACACCCCACTTCTCCCTCGGGGCCAGCCCAGCTTCCGTTAATCCCCTTTCTAGAGCACGCCTATCCACAAAAATGGTTGGTCTCACACTCCTAATATGAGAATTTTTCTTCTGAACTATTTGAACCACCAACATAAGCTAACGCTTCAAAGCATAGTGTACTTAAGGCAAATCTCGTCCTTAATGCGTGCGGGGTAAATCCATTTTCAAAGAGCCCTCTTGGTATTTTCAGGTGCATGTGTGCTTGTTGTTGACTTCTTTGAGCTGATTAGCCAGATCATTGCGGCAGCCACAAAGCCACGGAGGTGTTGGCTCTGCCATTTCCTTCTGATTTGTTGGTGTTTTGCATTATTACCGTGATCTCCAATCGTTGGTTTCTTGGCAGGAAACTTCATGTCGCTTGTCCATTAGTGTGAGGTAATTTAGGCCAACTGGATAAAAGACATGGAAGCCCCCCTAAACTGGCAGTCACAAAACCATACCTGTCTCCCTAGGTGGGGAGCCCAGCTCT